GGATGCCCTTTATTTCCTTGTCTTGCCTAATTGTATTGGCTAGAACTTCCAGCACTATGTTGAATAGTAATGGTGACAGAGGACAACCTTGTCTGGTTCCAGTTCGGAGAGGAAAAGCTTTCAATTTTATTCCATTCAGTAAAATATTAGCCGTGGGTTTGTCAGAGATATCTTTGATCAGTTTCAGAAATGTGCCATGTATGCCTGTACTCGTCAGTGCTCTAATTAGAAAAGGATGCTGGATTTTATTGAATGCTTTCTCTGCATCTATTGAGAGGATCATATAGTCTTTGGTTTTACTTTTGTTGATATGGTGAATAGCATTTATAGATTTGCATATATTAAACCAATCTGGCATCCCTGGGATGAAACTTACTTGATCATGATGTATGATTTTTTTGATGATAAGCTATAATCTATTGGCTAGGAGTTTGTTGAGCATTTTTGCATCTATATTCATGAGTGAAATTGGTCTGAAGTTCTCCTTTTTAGTTGGGTCTTTTCCTGGTTTTGGCATTGGGGTGATGTTTGCTTTATAGAATGTGTTGGGGAAGATTCCTTTCTTCTCAATTTTTTGAAATAATTTCTGGAGTATAGGAATAAGCTCTTCCTTGAAAGTTTGATAGAATTCTGGTGTGAAGCCATCTGGACCAGGGCATTTTTTGGTTGGAAGATTTTTTATTGTTTCTTTAATCTCAGTGCTTGATATGGCCTGTTTAGGAGCTCTATTTCTTCCTGGCTAAGTCTAGGGAGAGGGTCTGATTCCAAATATTGATCCATTTCCTTCACATTGTCAAATTTCAGAGCATAGAGTTTTGGTAGTATTCAGAGATGATCTCTTGTATCTCTGTGGCATGAGTTGTTATTTTCTTTATCATTTCTGATTGAGGTTACTAGAGAGTTTACTTTTCTATTTCTAGTTAGTCTGGCCAAAGTTTATCTATTTTATTTATTTTTTCAAAAAACCAACTCCTTGTTTCATTAATTTTCTGAATGATTCTTTTATTTTCAGTTTCATTGATCTCTGATTTAATTTTGGATATTTCTTTTCTTCTGCTTGGTTTAGGCTTAGACTGTTCTTTTTCCAATTCCATAAGATGGCTTGTGAGTTTATTGATATGCTCTCTTTCTGTTTTTCAAAT